CTGTCCCTCTCCCTCCCTTCCTCCCCTCCCCCTCCCCACCTCTCTCCCTCCTCTCTCTCCTCTCTCCCCTATCTCTCCTCCCTCTCTCCCTCCCCTCCCTCTCCTCCTCTCTCCCATCCTCCCCTCCCCTCTCTCTCCCTCTCCCCTCCCTCTCCCCCCCTCTCCCTCCCTCTCTCCCTCTCTCCCCCTTCTCTCTCCCTCCTACCTCTCTCCCCTCTCTCCCCTCCCCTCCTCCCCTCCCTCTCTCTCTCCCCTCTCCGTTCCCCTCCCCTCTTCTCCCCTCTCTTCCCTCTCTCCCCCCTCCCCTCTCTCCCCCTCCCTCTCTCTCCCCCCTCCCTCTCCCCTCCCCTCTCTCCCTCCCCTCTCTCTCCCTCCTCTCTCTCCCCTCCCTCCCTCCTCCCTCCCTCTCCCTCTCTCCTCCCTCTCTCCTCCCTCTCTTCCCTCTCTCTCTCTCCCTCCTCTCTCCCCTCTCTCTCCCCTCTCCTCTCTCCCCTCCCCTCTCTCCCCTCTCCCTCCCCTCTCTCTCCCCCCCCTCGGGCGAGAACCAAGCAAGCACTGTTGCCAGAGCCGAAAGCACCCAACCACCAAGGCTTTTTCCGTGCTGTATTGTGTTGTATGTTGTATTTCGGTGTTGTATTTGAGTCTCTTTTTAACATATATATTACATGAGCGAGGGATGGACCCACGTGATACTGCATGACCGTAGCTCCCCGACATGATATCATGCAAAGGTACACAGGTAGAAACATGCAACATATATATTTTTTTTTTTCTATCTCTCTCTTTTTTTCAAATAGAATTGTCCAGTTACGTGTATATACTTTATTCATTTATCTATTTATTTATCTGTTCATCTTTTTACAGCATACATCCGTCGATACTGCAAGCATATCACCTGGTATTCTGCTGCACGTTATGATCTAAATGTATTCTGTGGTTGTTATTGCACAGTAAAACATCTGTAATAAGGGTTAATGAATTTAGAGGTAGGCACTTGATATTGTTGATAAAAAATCCGATTGTAGAATGAATGGTAGATAAAGGGGAAAATAGTAGTTGTATTTTGTGTTTGTTTGTTTGGTCGGAATTTGGTCTTAGATTAAATTCTGACGTGGCGGTAATATTCTTGTAGATAAACTGCATATATTTATGTACACACACATATATATGTGTGTGTGTGTGTATATACAGTATATATAGATAGATAGATAGATAAATAGATAGATGTGTGTGTGTGTGTGTGCTTGTGTGTGCTTGTGTGTGTGTATGTTCTGTGTTTTATCAATATAAATATATGCTACATATATGTATATATATATATATATATATATATATATATATATAGTATATATATATATATATATATATATATATATATATATATATATAATATATATATATATATATATATATATATATGTATGTAATATATGTATATGTATAGTATATGTTATATATATATATATATTATATATATATATATATATATATATATATATATATATATATATATATATTATATATATATATATATATATATAATATATATATATATATATATATATATATTATATATATATATATATATATAATATATATATATATATATATATATATATATATATATATATATATATATATATATATTATATATATATATATATATATATATATATATATATATATATATATATATATATATATTATATATATATATATATATATATATATATATATATATATATTATATATATATATATATATATATACATATATATATATATATATATATATATATATATATATATAATATATATATATATATATAGTATGTATATGTATATGTATACATACATATATCTTTTGTTTTTGTTTCTGTTAATAAAATTCAAAGAAACGTTTTCCTTTTTTAAATAAATTCTCACTATATTAATCAGAAATTCATCAAGCTTAATTCTGTAAAAAAAAAAAAAAAAAAAAAAAAAAAAAAAAAAAAAATCATGAAAAAAAGGAAAGTAAACAGAGCATTCCCGGAACAGAGGAAATGCTTCATCTCTTTCATTTGTAAATATGACTCCGGATGCGTTTTTTCTCTCTTTCTTTCTTTCTTTCTTTTTTAAATGGTTTTTCTTGTTTCTCTTCCTTTCTTTTTTCTTCTTTCTGTCTTGGTTTCATATTTTTTTTTGTTTTTGTTGTCTCTATTTAAATGGTCGAGAGTTGTCCTTGTTCTTATTTTTTATTTTTGTTATTGATTTTCACTTATTCTTATTCTATTCTATCTTATCCTTAATTTTTATTCATTTGCATTTTTCTTTTTCCAATCGGGTTATTTGAATTTCCATTTATTCACTTTGATTTTCATTTTTGTATGTCAACTAATTCTTACTTGTTTCGTAATATCTTTTCTTGTTCTCTCTTGCTCTCCTTATATTTTCTCTGATTTTCTTATCTATCTTTTATGTTTTTTTTTTTCTCTTATTTCATCTCTATTACGATTTGT